TAGTGCTGGGGAAAGCTGAAACTGAACCCAACTTGAAGCAATTGCTTTTGAGGTTTTATCATCAAAGGAGACCACAGAAGCAGTTAGTGTTGGGATTTGGTTTTGTCCCAAACCTTATTTCCCAACAACCCAGGAATCTTTTGTTGTTGTTGTTATTTATTTATTACCTTACCTTTGTTTGTTCCCAGTTTCTACTCACTCTCCCACTAGCCACTATTTTCCTTTAGCTTAAGGAGTTTCCTTTAATCATCCTCACTTCTGTTGTTACCAGCAATACTATCCCCACTCAGCTTTTCTTTTGCCAGGCTAAGCAAGGCCAGATCTTTTAGTCTCGGCTATACTCTCAGGAAGCCCTTCTCAAGTCCTGTTCCAGGTTTGGTTAACCTTTCCTGACAACTGTAGGCTATGCTACAGGAGAAGTCCCACCAGTATCTCATTAATTATTACTTTATTTCTGTAGGATATACCCTGCAGCACCTTTGAATTCCATTTGTTGCATCCATCTTTCCAGACTAACCTTACCTCGTGATCAGATAATACCCTGAGCTGCCTGCCTACCTCAGTCCTTCCTGATTAACGCTTGTAGCAGAAGCTACTTTCATGATGCCCTGATGTGGTCAGTACAGTCAATACGGTTGCTACTACTGAATTTCATCTTACTTTAATCACTGCAGGTTTCAGCCAACCAGTTTCTGCTCCAATACTCTGATCCTCTCTTCCAGAGATGGAGCCTCCCAATCTTCTGTTATCTAAGCCCCAATATTATCCTTCCAGTCCAAAGATGGATTGTATAAAATTCTTTTTGCACAGGCCTGCATAAGATAGTGGCTCAACAACTTCTCCCAGGAAATATGTGAATAACATTCTTGAATGACCTCAAATTTCTCCAGATGTTTACAGCTAGGATTTCTCCCAGTCTGCACAAATGAATGTCAGATCTACAGCTTCAGAAGGAACAGCCATTCTGATCTAGCCTCACCCCTGCAGCAGAGGTCTGCTGCCTTTGTAGGGAGCCAGAGGCAATGACCAAGGCTCTGTGATGCTCATTGTCCTGGAAACTGGCTCTGGTGACCCTGCAGGTTAGAGCACTTCTAACTTGTATCCCAGTGTTCCCATGGCTAGCCCAGGCACCTATCACTGTCTTACTGCCTGGGAGGAATATCAGAGTTCAGCCATGAGCTCTCAGAAGGATACTTAAGGAAAAAGACCCACTTCTCTACCCATAGGGTCTCCTACAGCCTTTTTGCCTCAACACATGAAGGTAATAACATAGATACACAACAAACTAATGCCTTTCATGTCACATTGCCTTCCCACACCCTCTTCAGAAGAGGTCCAGGGTCCAGCTCTCAGCCTGACTTGTGATTTGTTACCATTCATACAGGCTGGATCTCTTCTGCCTCTTCACAAAGGTATTGGCAACTTCTTTTTTAATCTTGATGCCTAGCAAGAGAGGACACAGCAGGTTAGAGATGCAGGGTTATGGTCTAGGAAAAACAGAGGCCAGTCTAACCTCTGCAAATGGACAGTCTACTCTCCTCACAAGCAGACGCCTGTCACAAACCATCCTAATTCCCCATTCATCTCTCCTTACCCCTCTGTCCACTCAGAGCCCAAGAGCTGGGCTCCCTCCTCACTCCAGCTCCATGGACATGGAGCAAGGGCCTTTTCTGTCACAAACTCCATTCCCTTATCACACAGCATGATCTGAATCCACAGCAATTGTGCAGAAGGCAAAGACATGACAGCATAGAATATGACTAAGGACAAAATGAAGGAAATGGCACCCTCTCTCCCTATCCCACTCAGTTAAAGAGCCTTGCCTTCTTTTCTATGTTTTGACTTAGACTGGGAGTGATGTGGCACACCAGCCACCAGGCCTTAAAAATAAGCAACAAGTAGCACATGGGAAAACCAATGCTTACATGCACAGAGTTCCATGAAAGGTGTAGGTTATAAAATAATGGTGGTAAACATCACCTAGGGAGAAATAAATCCAGAGGGTGTGAAGATCTTCATGTTCAGGATTTGAAGAACATGAAAGGTCTCTCTGCCATGACAGGATTGGCTCCTGGTCTCCATTGACATGGCAGCACAGTTGCTTTCCTCCCTTGGATTTGTGGTTGTGCAAACACCAGGTTACTGTGGAGCACCCCAGGAACAGCAGGGGAGCCACTTGGCTGCCCATGCCCAGCCAGGGCTGAGCTCAGCCTCACTCCAGGGGAGGGACCCACACCAGCAGAGCTGTGCACAGCTGCCAGCACAGCAGTGGCATGGGCAGCTCACACTAGTGCATGTTTCAGCGGGGAAACTGACAAGCTGTCCCTGGGGGAAAGAAGTGTTTAAGACCTCTTCCTGTGGGGAGGTGGTGGGGCCTGTGTCCTTCCCTCCTCACAACGGGGTGTTTGGCTGCTATTTGGTGGGTGGGGGATGCCTCCTTTCTAGCAAGCTGGGGTTTAGTCTGGATCAAAGTACTGACAGCACAGAAACAGCCAGTTAATGAGCTGTCAGAAACCCCCACCCCTCCCTAAACACTCTTTTTTTTGTTTTTTCTCTTTGCCAGTCTGTGTTTGCATTGGCTCACTGCAGAAATGCCACTGTTGTGCTCCTCAGTAGCAGTGGTATCCTTTCAGGTGTGAGAAAGGGGAGATGGGAGAGCAAAAGGGATTTTCCATACAGATTCCTGCCAGGATCAGCTTGCTGAAAAAGCTGTAAACATCCCAAAGTGTGCAAATCCCCATGTCCCAGGTGACCTGGGAGGAAGGACTGCAGCCAGGGAAGGTTCTTGCTTTCAGGCTTTCCAGGTTGTGGGATTTGTCAGAGATGTCACAGCCTGTTGCCATGTGGCACCAAACCTTTCTGCTCTGCCATCCTGCACACCAGACTGGCTGCTCAGCAGATCCAAAGGACCGGTGCCTGCACGTCCAGGGGCAGGTTCTGCTCACAGCAGTCTGAGGACAGAGCGGTCACGGGGGGCTGCTCAGGGGTTGTTGAGGTGCAGGCCATGGCACTGGCACCCCTGGAGCCGTGCCAAGCTGCTGGTGCAGGGAAGCTGAGCTCCCGGGTGTCTCCTGCCCCCATGGCTGTGAAAGGCAGCCCCTCTCTCTGCTGCAGGTGCTCCTGCACATCAGGGGCTGCAGCCTTGAGGGGGCAAAAGGGAGCAGCTAGAGGGACCCAGCATGGTTCTGGTTCACCCCTGGAACCTGTCCAAGGGGAGGAAGGAGGCAGATGCAGGAGAATGGAGCTGAGCATCAGTCACAAGGATATACTCACTGTCAGCACCGGGGGAATCTGAGGGTTCTTGGGGATCTGGAAGACAGACAGACAGACAGACAGGAAGAAGTTTGCATAGGAGTTCTCCTCTGCTCCACTCTGCAACTGAATCCCTTGTCCTACTGGCTGGGTCCAGTTCCCCCCACTTTCCCAGAAGGTCTATCCCTCACAAAAAGGGTTTTATCCTTTTGGGATAAAAGTGCATCATTTAGAAAGAAACTTTTACCCCACAGCAATATTCACCCATATGCCTGTGTTTAGTTTCTACTTCCTCTGAGCCAGATTAAATGACATAAATAGGATGTAACCACTGTAGAAGCTGGGGAAAGACCTTCCTTCTCTCTCCTCACCCTTGCTAAGAGCAGGGACAGCTAAGAGGTAGAGGACCATTTGAGCAAAATACCAAATTTGGACAGAATCTGAAGATAGCTAAGCATCTTCTCCATCTTTGGAAAGAGAGATTTTAACCACAGGGAGAAATTACAAGCCATTGATAGGGAAGAGAAATGAGACCAAAAATTAAGAACAGCTCTGTCCTCACAGCTTTCTGGCTCCAGATTGAGGTACTTGGCTCACCAGCCCACCCACCTCCCCCCACCCAAGAAGAAGAATTTACACACTGTATTTCTGTGTTCAGTCCTAGTCCTTAATGCTCTCTACAAACACCCAAGGACAGAATACTCTAAGAGAAATGGGATGGCACCAAATCTTGTCTCTCCCACACTGACCTATTTCACAGTTTTTTTCTTCCACTATTTCCCCACACTTTTTTTCACCAGTGCCAGTTTCACCCAAGTCACCAGGTATTTGGCCTAAGTGTATAAACACAAAAAAAAAAGTGTGTGAAAGGGGCTGTGTGTATTTTGATTCTTACATAATGTATCCATACCTTGGATTTCAAAAAAATAAAATTAGAAGTTCCTCCAAGGCCATTAAGCATTCTGGAACATAACAATGACTGGGGGGAAAAAAAAAAAAAAAAGCTGATATCTACTCAGGAGTGAAAAAGCAAGAAACAGACTGACAGAAGGAAAACACTGATCAAAGAAAATATGTTAGCCAGTACTGAATCACGAAATATTGATGCCAAGGGCTGAATGAAACTCATCTCTGAGATAATACAGGAAAAGACAGAACTCTCTCCAGCTCAGCTTCTCTTTTCCTGCTGTAAAGGCAAAACACTTGGGTTTTGATCTTTCTCCCCTTCTCTCTCTTTTTATCAGTTATAGAACTGCCACTACATTACTATCTCTTCATCATGAAGTCACCAACGCTAAATCACCTTCAAATGTGATGGGCTCTTATTTCAATGGGACAATTCCCTTTTCTTTAACCACCACAAGAAGGCTTTTTTTTTTCGTCCAGAAGTTTTCCTCATCCCCCATTTCTCTGCAGGTGAAGGCTTGATTCAGTGCCCATCTTTGAGATCCCACAGCACTCCGAGCTGACAGGCACAAAACTCCCTGTGGTCAACACAAATCTGCCTGCAGCTCAACCCTCTTACTCAAAAGTGAGCATCCAGCGTACCTCTGCCAGTTCACCTAAATGATCAACTGTTTTAATACTTAAACATACTAAAACGTTTGCATTATCTGCTGGAAGTCAAAGGTGCAGCTGCAGGGATGGGGTCTGGCCAGTGGCAGGAAGTGCCTGGCAGGAAGGGAGGCTCTTGATCCCCAAGCCCTCTCTTGCCCATGACCCTGTGTCTCGGACAGAGCTCTGAAGCTGTGCTATGACTGGCAGTGCACCTCCTCCCCCAGGGCTGCAGGGCTGAGCAGCACTCCCAAAAGCCTTCCCAGGAAGATGTCCCCTTACCTTCCTCACAACAGCAGAGTGCTGCCAGGGCCAGAATCACCACCAGTGGTGCCAGCAGACTCCTCATGTCCTCTTTGGCTGCGCTAGTCGCCCTAACCTCAGAGCTCCCCTGAAGGTTACTGAAGTTCTCCAGAGCTTGCTTTTGGGCAGCAGTTTATATCCTGGGATCATTTGGAGAGATTGGGGCTCTGGCTTGTGTTCCTGTGTCCAAGCTCCAAAACAAAGCCTGCCCTTTGGGCCAGGAGATATTGGGTCCTGGCAGCCAGTTTGAAATCCATCTCAGGACTCATGGCATTTCCAGAAGATTTTATCTGAAGTTTTGAATGGAACTGTTAAAGAAAAACATCTGGATTAAAATATTTTATTATAAACATGAAAGCCATTCGGCTTCTTGCCAGAAAGCCAAGGGAGAGACCAGCACACCCTGAAGCACAGCAGCTGGTGTGGTGTGATAGGGCTCTCTCATATGGAAAATCAGATGAGGCTGAATCCAGTGGTGTCACTTTTCCCCTGCCCTGACCCGTTACCCTGGAGGTAAAGAAACCCATGAAACAGTTTGCACAGGGCAAACACACAGAAGATTTTTCTCTTCAGACAGTTCCACCAAACCATGTCAGAGAGCTCAGATTTTTATACTGTTGGGAACTCTGGTAGACAGTTCAAGCAACAGTCTTTTTTTCTTCCTGGAAATCTTCCTAGTTTGGAGGTTTTTGTTTGGTTTCCTTTGCCTAAAAATCAAATAAACCGTTAGAGTCCAAAAGTGTTTTGTTCTTCAGGACTTGGTGGCTGTGGTTACCTGGTATGTCAAGAGCCCTGCATGGGCATTTCTACAGCCTGTTCCCCCATAACCTCATGCTCCCTAAATTCACCATCCTAATTTCCAAAGCCACGTCCCACAAACATTGTAGGGATCACATCTTCCTCCACCTCATACACAGTCCTCCTCAGCTCCACAGGCAGGGGACACGTCTGGGGTTTACAGAATTAAAGCCTAAAAGGCTCCCAAGGGCAGTCAAAGCTGTTAGGGATTTTGCCAGTCCTTAGAAACAGTCTTTTGGCTTAGAGAAATTTCAGGATTTAAAAAAAAAAATCCAAAACAAACCAACCAACCAACCAACCACTTTTGTACAGTCCAGCAAAGACTGACAATATATACCAACAACTCTCACTGAAAGTATCTTAAAGAGCAACAGTTTAAAATAAATAAATATCTAAAAGTAATAGGTATTCTAGGAAAGTTATGCTTCCAAAAGAATACTTGAAATAATATAAATATACAATTATTGCAATCCAAAGAGATTTACTTCTTTTCCCAACTTTTCCTAAGCTTTTTAACAAGCATGTAGTCTCTTAAACATATTTGGTTACTGCTTACAGTAATGAAATCCCACCGAAATCTCTGGTATTATTCATTCTTTACAGTGGTGAACAGGAGTTTGTAACTGCGAGATGTTAATGGGGACAGACACAGGCAGCACTGACTCTGGGCCTTCTGTTTCAGTAGTGTCACAGTGCCAAGCCAGACCCAGATACTACAGACTTGTTGGCTTTAGGGTATCAAAATTTTGCTCCAGTTGGTGATTGTAAGGTTCACCTACTTGGGAACATGCAGGACAAGTGTGGGTGAAAATATACCTAATCCATATGGGTTTTTTTCCCTGAACTCATTTGTCTCTCCCCTTTTCCTTTGGACAAAACTTTAGTTAGGTTTGTCAAAGACAAAACTTTGGACTAAACTTTTTGTTTCAGTCAGGGTGAAGTTTCATATCAGAAACGGTTTCAGTAAATAGATCACATTTCCTTCCAAAAGTTCATTTTCAAAGCCTTGAAGTGTATTTTGAAGGAGGATGCATGTTTCTAATGAGGCAGGTAGATTGTGCTCTGGACAATTTCACAGATTGGTCAACAGTTTGATAGGTTATACCTCACAGCCTTTGATAGTGTGCCATGAATCTTTCCCACTTCTCTAGTTTACAGGTGCCTGTGGAATCCTGGAGATGTGAATGCTGAAACCAGCTCTGCTGAGCTGGGCTGGAAGATGTCTTCTACACACCACACCAAGGAGCATCTGAGCTTCTGTGGCTGCAGACCAGTCCAGGACAGCACTGAGTTCTTTGGCATGTCAGCACTGGTGCCCTTTGGCCTGGGGACAGGCTCTGCAAGTTGCCCTGGTGCTGGTGACAACCTGGCAGCCGTCACATGTGCACAGGTTGCTGATCACGTCCCAGCCTGTTGGGGAGCACGGGTTCAGGACACAAACTGGTTTCAAAGGAGTTATGAACAGTAAAATGAGCTGAGATTGACTCCAAACAATGGGTTTCTTTTGTTTGTTTATTTACCCCTGTTCCCCCTCTGTGTCTGCAGCTTTTTAGTGTTACTGGAGTCATTCCAAGCAGAGGTAGGGGCCTAAAAGGGAAACCAAAAAGGAAATATGAATAAAATCTGGACCACCGCTCCTCTCTACAGGGGTACCCTACATCAGAACCTGAAAGCAAGTGGATAAACAAGATGCAATTTACAGGCTTTTTCTGTCACTAAATCTCACCCTAACTTTGTTTTTTAGATTAAACAGATGCCTTCTGAATTGTATGTTCACAGCTGTGGTAAGATACTATGGATTTCATTTTCAAAAAGTGCATTTCACCCTGCCTTCTGAACATCATGCCATTTTAAGAGGTCTTAAAACTGGGCTGAAATTTGCCAGTGACCTCTGGAAGAAGCCACTTGTAGATTGTGGAACGCAACACTGTAGATCATTTCAAACTCATGCAGTTGCAAGGTAGTGACTTTTTTCCATAATCTGCACCAGATGCTATGATAAACAAACTCAGCCTGTTTGTGGAAAATTGCACCCCCCATCCCAAAATACTGTGACTCATGAGAAGATAGTATCAAACTAGCAATTTATTGTGTAGTAAACACCCACATACTGAATGCTCTCTGGTCCCTGCTACCTCAACTCAGCGCTAACTAACAGAGCGTAGGAATTCATGGCTACATGCAGGGAAGCAGCAGGCAGGATAACATACAAGGACACAAGCAACTGAGTATGTTCAAGAGCCATTGCATTTTTGGGGAGGTTACTCTGGGCCCCAGGCCCAAGGGTGGGGACAGACAATCCTTTATTTAGTCCTCCTCCTCCCAAAGTAGTGCCTGTAAGCAGCAGCATAGCCGTGGCGGAAGGCGTAGAGCTCGCAGGGGTAGTAGTCCTCACAGATCTCCCTCTGACGCTCCTGGGGTGCCTTATGACGCTCCCTGATCCTGCACAAGTAGGAGGGATGAGGGGTCAGTGCTATCATCTTAAACATCTGTCTACAGCCTTTTCCTGTCCCACAGCCCCCCACCAGTATCAAGGGTCCATCGCCAGATTCCATCATCCAGCTACAAAGGTCTTAGCACACCAGCTTTTGTGTTCACCACACTCAGGGGAGCAATGGGACTGTAGCAGGAAAGTTTTGCCTCCTCGGGTAACCTTATAGCTCAGGGCTAACTAGAGTGGTGGAGAGAGGGAGGAGGTTCCTGCCTCAACCTGAGGAAGAGTCCCCCCTCCACAGCTCCCCTAGTGAGCTGCCATCAGCTCTTCTGTTCTTCCCTAAAACCACACATGGAACAAAGACCCGAAACATCCTGCAAAGGGCCCATCAGGAACTATAAAGAAGGTTTGGCTGGACATCTCACCAAAAGATGATCTCTGTGTGATTTGCACAAGCCCCGCGTGAGGCATGAAACTACCTATATCTGCATTTTACAGATGAGGTAAGGAAGTCATAGAATCATAGAATCATCCCCAGATGGCCCTTTGATTTAGAAAAATTCATGCAAATTCTGCATGAGATCTGAGAACTAGAATGAGATTGAGGACTAGAGCAAGATCTCAAACCGAGCTTCCTTTCTGCCATGCCACACTGATTCCTTCTCCTTCTGTTGGTGTTTCCTTCAGAATAATTAAGCAGAGTCCTCCTGCACATGACGTCATCAAATGCACTTGCTCTCTGCTATGTGACTTCTGGTTTCTCCCAGGGCTGGGGAATTCATGGGCACCTCACACTGAAGCACTGAGGTTTCTCAGAAGTCACCATAGGTGCCACCCTGGTATCAGGCTGTGCTTTGCAAGGAGAAACCTCTCCCCACTCCCATTCTCAGTGTCCTAAGGCCATAACATACCTCTCCTGAGAGATAGCTTCTAGTCTGGAACCAGCTTGTATGAAGTCATTGGCCCTTCGCCTGTTGATGAAGGGATCTGAGAAGGCAAAGGGTTGTTCAGAGTAGATAGACACTTTTTCAAGGCTAGATTTCAACAAAAGTTACCTTCCACATTTATAACAGCCTCCTTGTCTGCTCTCCCAGCCACAGTGAGACCCAGGACCTTTTAATGCTCCTTGCCACCCACCCTGCTGGTTCACTCCCAGGCTATGCAGCCTGCATGGAAGTGCACGTGCTGCTCTTGCTCTGCTGTCACTCGAGCCACCCAGGGGAAAGCTGCTGTGACTTGGCTGTCACGGTGCCTCTGAGTGAGTGGAACTTGGCCAAGAGGTAGGCACCAAGATGCACAGACGATGGGAAGCCTGGGCAGGAAAAGAGAGGCAGAGCCCAGGCGAGCCCATCTGCCCCGGGCTGGGTAGGCACCGAGCAGCCTGAGTGCTACTTTTGGACTGAGCTGCCTGAAAGCCCCTTTGGTCCTTTTTTGAGAAACAGCCCAGTCCTGCTGCAGAGTTCAAGAGCCTGTGAGTGTCTGGTGTTGGCTCCCACGTGTGCCTTTGTGCTTCTGACTGACTGATTTGTGAAGTCTTTCTTCCAGATGGTCTGATTCCTTTTTAGTTTCGGCCCATCTGTTCTCTGAACTCTCCAGGACATTGCCTGTTCCAGGGTAAGACTCTCCACCCTTTCATGCTTTTCCTGTGACACTAACTCTCTCCTAGAGCCGAAGGATCACTCCCACCCACACATCCCACCTCCTCCTTCCAAGGTACTGAGGGTAAGGCTCTTCCTGTCCTTGGGGGAGAATAAATCATGTCACTGGTTCCTGCAGTACCTCTTCCCATGGTCATCTCAGAGGTTTTTGAGCAACGTCCTTTTCTAGAGCCACTTAACCTGTTTTATGTACATGCAGCAAAGATCTAAGCTCATGACTCTTCCAGTTCTCATTACATTCTTTGCAAAACAGTGGTATGCACTTGTGTCAAAACACGTGAAGTATTTTTTTAGCTCTCTCCCTTTTCATTCTGGAACTCCATCACCCAGTAAATTCAGCTTCCCGGGGCTGAGTGCTTCTGCCTATTTAATCCCTAAAGTACAAAAATGTTCTCAGAGATGTCTGTAGCATACTTAAAATTCAAGAACACAGTAAAGCAGCCTCTTACTGAGATACTCATGGGATTCCATGCTCTCGTGGGACTCTGGGGAAAGAAAAACATGTGGTGAGACACTGTATTGATGGTACTCAGAGTCTTTCACACACCACAGATAAATAAAACATGCACATGCAAATCAGAGAATCCATGTTTAAGGCACAGGTTTAAAAGAAGAGAGAGGGATAAATGGTGTGACCTAGCCTTTATACGAGAAGTTTAGGGTATTCAGGACTTTAAAATGGAGCTACCCGGTGGTTTTAGCCTGCACTTCAAGGCTTGTGCTTGGTCCTCCAGTGTGTGATTCCCAAGCATAATTCCTTCATGTTCCTGACACTACAGTGGGTATAATACCTGCTTACCTTCAAACCCTGCATGTATTCTTAGGGACTGGTTTAGCACAGCAAGATGTGCTCGACTCTTGCATGAAACAGCATCTTAATACCATCAGCATGGAGCTGTGTGCCTCACAGGGAAAGGGGGCTGATATTACAAAAGGAGAAAGGGAAATCTCCCTGTTAACAAGGAAGAATTAGGAATAAGAACTCTTTTTGTAGTCCAGATAACAGAGGGGCAGAAAGAGGAGCCATCTGTGAGGTGAGCTGGAACAGAGAGGAAGGGGTGAAGCATCTGGGACCACAAATCACACCTAGAGCTGACAGCTCTGGAGCACGGGTAGAAGAATCTGACAAAAGGGCAGGAAAGAGATAAGTTAAGGAGAAAGGAGACATAACATCAAATAGAAAACATCTGACCAGACCCAAAGATGTTTGCAGGTTTGGAGTTATCACTCTACCCTGTAAAAAAGGTCACCTACCGTAGCACGTAGCAGCCACCAGGAGGACAGCCAGGAGCATGGGGATGGTGAGAGCACGCATTGTGCCAGTGCAGGAGGAGCCCCTCACTCTGGCTCTCTCACTGTGTCTTGCTCTCTTCCCACTGAGGGCAGCTGCAGGTCCTGGGCTGCCTGCAAAATTAGCAGTGAAATGTTTATTATGAAAACAGAGCCAGGAGGGGGCCCATGAAAGAGCGTGGGGAAGGCAACAGCTGGCTGGTACAAACTCCTTATGGAGCCATCACAAAACATCCTCTATTAGCAGACTGAGACAGACTTCAGGAAGGAAATCAGCCTGCCCCTTCCTCTCCCTGGTCAGAGCTGGAGGCTGTAATCCACAGGCAGGGATGGCACCAGCACTCCATGCTGAGAAAAACTGGCCTGCACAAGTGGAAGGAATTTCAGGGGTTGCCAGGGGCCTGGAGGGAGAGGTGTGTGCTGATCCCAAGTGTAAATGTTTGCCTCTAATTTTCCCTCTGATCTGCCCTCTTTGCTCTCGGCGTCCCCTGTCTGGATACACCCAGCCCACACTGTTCTGTCAACCTTGCTGACAGAGACATGGAGAATGAGGCTTCAATCATTCAGTCCCCACTCAGTCCCTCTCCTTTCATTGCTGCTGTCCCAGACTGCCAGTCATCAGGGGAGGAATCCAACCCTATTCCCCCTTCCCCTTCATACTTTACTGCTCCAGGATTGGCAAGCAGCATCCTAGAAGTATCCCTTCTGCTGGAAGGATCATGACTTTTGCATTCAGATGACAGCAGCACCCAGAACTCTGAATTATTCTGGGCTTTACAACTTACCCTTTCAATGCCAAACTTGTGGCCCTTGCCTGATGGCTGTGGTCTCTGGGAGAGAAACTGAGTACAGCCTTCAACTTCAACTGAAAGAGAAAAAAAATCTTTTCTTCCCCATCATCCCACCCCATGCAGAGAGCTCCTCAGTCCCTCACCAGCAATGACCCAGGTACCACCCACATCCTGCCCATTCAGTGCTCAGCCTGAGAGAAGGAGGAAAAGCAGGTTATGCCGGGGCAGAAGCCAGAAGTCTGCTAGAGACAGAGAGTCAGAGGAGAGCTGAGAATTCCCTGCTGTTCCTCCGTGCCCTGCCACTCCGGTCTCTTTAAGGGAATTCTCTGCCCTGGGATTGTTTGCATTCCTTAGAGCCCACAGTTTTGGAGTTAGCATTGAATGTGGATTTTATTCGTTTCCTGAATGTCTTGTATGCTGTAGGAGCTCATGAGAGCTGCCAGTTTCTTGGGAGGCTTGAGGGAGAGGCTGGAGGAGAGTCCCCAGCAGGAAAGCAGTGGGGCACAGAGAAGAATATGCGGGTGTTACTTTGGAATAAAGGTGAGGATACACAGTGGGATTCTCCAACATGTTTTCCAGACAAACCCTCTTCATTTATCTATCTTCTGCTCCCATTTCAGAAGACTCTGATCCCAGAATGCCTGGAGCATGTCCTGCCATCAACCACAGTAGAAAAGCCACAAACACCACTTTAACCCAAATGTTTCATTTTTCACCACAGAGGCAATGCATTTTCCAAGAGATGAATGAACATGCTGACTACACAGCCCTATACCAACAAACCTCCTTCAGGGAACACTTTCCTTTGCAAAAACACATCTCCTTTCTACTCTCCCTGTACTCTATCCTTCTCCTGCAAACATCTCCCCTCCCCAGCATCCGTGGGCTGCCCCAGAGGTAACACACCATGCAGCACAGTGAGCCCAATCCCCCTGCTTTCTAGCAGCACCCACTGGTTAGAAGTACAGAAAGAGGAGCTAAGATGATCTGCCTGCAAACACTGGGGAAATCTCTGCGATCCCCCAGATAAAGAGGGGATCAGAAAATCAGCCCTCTGACCTGTCTTCTGCTGGAGTGGGGACTCACAGTGTTACACAGGCCATAGCAAACACTCCTAACATTCTGCAGCTGTGAAGCACCAGCAAGGCATTAACAACGAGCAGCCCTCCAGGAAAAGCAAGGCAGTCCCTGCATACTCACTGGAGCCGTCGCTTCCCCACCAGCCTGGAGCTTGTGTCTGAGGAGGCAGCTCCTCCAACACCCTGGACACTGCACTGAAGAAGAGGGACCTTTTATTTATTAGCATTGATCAGTGACTCCGCCCCTCTTCCCTCTCCCACTCTCGATCCACCCCCGGGCTACCACCTTCTCAAAAACACCTTCTGCCCACAGCCAGGAAACCAACAACCTCAAGGAGCTGAGCCAAGAGGGAGAGGCTGGAGGAGACACTGGGGGCTGGTGGGGGTACAGGCACATCCAGGCTGCCTCTCTGTGCCCTGGAGCAGTGAGCAGGTAGAGACCTAAGGACAAGCTCCAGTTTCCCACTTTGCAGCAAGACACCCCCCTACTTCCACCCTCTCCTTCCCTAGCTGTGCCCTAATTAGAGCTGCACTGTTGGCCAGGCCATCTGTTTCTCCACAAGGAGCAGGAGACCAGGAGCCTTCTCTTGTCCCCTTGCATGTTCTTGTTGCAACAGTCTGGTACTCCCTCCTGATGGCAAACTGAAAACTCACATGACAAGGGTGTCTGCTTTTGGAGGCAGCTCTGAAACATCCAAAAGTGACAAGCCCTATGTGGCAAAGAGCTGGCTCACACAAACCCAAGCCCCTGCAGTGTCTGATGTACCCTTGCTGCTCACATCAGGCCTGCAACAGTGCTGAACAGCACATCAGACAGCCCAAGACACGTGCTTGCTGAGCTCGGCTCTTGGGCTTCTGGCACTGTCGGTACCCGAGCCGAGAGCACACGTGCACCCTGCTGGGATGCTGAACCCATGGGAGCAGCAGCACACGAGCCGTGCTCCCCTGCTCAGCAGAGACCCAGCCCTGGTATGTGCTCAGCATGGGTGCTGGTGGGTCCAGTCCTTAAGTAAGGGTGGGCACAGCCTGAAGGATTCAGCTCAGCAGAGGTGAGGTGGAGGGGATGACCAGCTGCAGAATCAGTGTCTCAGGAGGTTAAGAAAGAAAATCTTCCAGGATCAGTGAGTGCCCAGTTTATGCTGGGCAGGCTTCAGCAGAATCTCTGAGCACTGCAGCAAGAGAATAAAGCCCACCAGCTCTGTGACAGAGCAGGGCCTCCAAAGCCAGGTTGCCCAGAGTATCAGGTCACTGGCCTCACTGATCCAGACAGCCCTTTCCAAGCTTGCTCCTGTGTTTCAGGATGTAAGTTAGTCAACCACCACATGGTCTGTGACTTAGGAAGTGATTTCTCAACATGATAAACAAGTGCTTTTTGGAACAAGTAGTTCTACAGCACATGAGAAAACAAGACTTTATTTTTACTTCTTTGCTTAGTCCTAAGTAGTGCCTAGGACCAGATCCAAGAAGCAAGTATCACTGAGCCACTAACAGTGCCTGAGTATCCACAATATGATTAAAGTCAACAACCTCATGGAATAAATCGTGCTGAAAACGAGCATACTGACACTAAGCTTTAGAAAGGGAGGTGTTTTTTAAACACAGGAGCTAGTCAAAAGACTGTGAAATAGAAATAAACAGAACACATTTCAGGCAGTTTAAGAACTTGATATACTTATCTGAACATGTCTTAATGCTGGCAGCAAACTTACTCAGCTACCTGAAAATAACCATAAAACTAGTTCAAAAGGTAGTTCCACCTGAGAAGAAAGACATATTTAAACATTTCAAAACTAGATTATAAAAGTTCCAAAGATTAAAAGGAGGAGCACATAAATAGGAGAAATCTAGTTTTACAGCAATCAATTTTTTTTTTTTTTAAATAACTGAAATGATTAATTTCCATTTCTGTGGCAGGGTGGGGAGAAAACAGGCATTTCACAACAAATAACTGTAGGGGTATTTTCCCTGAAAACCTTTAAACACATATCTTTGAAATCTGTTTCCTTTGAGAAGAATTTTGCCCCCAGCATTACAGCCTGGTGCAAAAATAAAAGTTTCTAGTATGAGAATGCATATTGGTTCTAACTGAAACTTCTAACAAAGTGAGTGTATGGGCAGTCGTAGAAGTATTGTAGAAACCACCATCTGAAGCTCCAGAGAATGTCAGTCTCCTGGGGAGGAAGAAGGTTCCCATGCCAGCTCACAGTTATTTTCTTTCATGCTTCCTCTAACATTTTAGGCCAGGCTACAGTTTAGAAACTCCTCTTTCCACCCACCACAATGACTTGCAGGGACTTCCTCCTGCCCATGGATGTGGGGCACACCTGCTTGTTCAGCCTGAGGGCTGCCACTCCAGACTCTGGGACAACTGGTTGCTCAGTATCCCTGTGCCAAGGGGATCAAACACTATGAGAAGGCCCAGAACCTCCCTCCCTGCCCAAATCCAGAAGGTGAGAGGATAATTCTTCTTCCACCTGCAGCATCCTACAGAATGTGGGCCTGTATCCACATTAGCCACTACCACAGGGAGAGGTCTCTATGAGGTGAGCTCTGGGGTTTGGTTGGTAGATTGCAGGATTTTTTTTAGCTACTGTATGCTGTTGTTGTTGGAAAATCTTTAAACTATTGCAATTCAAATATTAGTAGCTAGACATAACCTCTCAACAACAGTCTATGGAGTTGTGATCCTCAAAGTTACTCCTTGCAATCCATCAGATTTCAAGATGAAGCCCAGTGTCCTGGAAAAATCACAGTCTGTGTGTAAGTACAGGAGCATTTGGGATCAACAGTACAGTTCAGGAGGAACTCACTGCTCTCCATTTCTGCTTGCTGCAAAAAGTGAGTCTGGTTCAAGCCTTCAACTCCAATACTTAGCACTTTCCATGGGATATTCATAAAGTTACCTTAAGGCTGATTCTCTCTGTTTGGCCAGGACTTCTCAGAACATCTGTCTTTGGCTGAAACAATGAAAAGAGATTACTGGTAATGGGAAGTTCATGAGTACAGAAGACTAAAATTTCACAGAGGCCAGACCAAGGTTATTTAATTCACTGGATAAAGCAACCAAAGCATTCAGGGATAAACGCTAACTCTGTCACTTCCTCTGGCTTCACCCCCACACACCCACACATGTCCACATACACTGACCAGCCTGTTTCTTTTGCTGCCTGGGAAGGAAGAAAGAGAGGGGATAATGTTAATATTATTTGGATGTTGAAAAAATTGGCAGAGGCTCCTGTGTGGGGATTAAATAATCCATATAAGTAACTAGAACTGCTTGCACTTCAAGAATCCTATGAAAAACAGAGCAAGCAAAAAGTTTGAACTCTGACTGTAAAAACAGAGCATGCTTCTGGGTTGCACTCTTACGGGAAAGAGGGGCAGAAATCTCTTCTTTTTCCACCCCATCCCCCTCATTTCACCACATCATCAGAAAAATGTCCTGACCTGACTCATTCTTTGGGATCAGATGAGATTTACCCGCCTTATTTCCTGTCCAGACATGCAGAGTGATAAGAAAACAGCTGTGGTTTCACTCTTCTTATCCATCTGGTAAATAAAAAATAACAATTATGTCTCTTTTCAACAATAACTGAGGCGGCAGCTTAGGTCCCAAGTCTGCCAAGAGTGGACTGAAACTTTCCTGTTCTGTCATGAACGCAGAAAGCCACTGGAATATGCACAAGCATCCCTGCGGTGCTGTACGTTTCTTTGTTCTATCTCAAGTTCAGTATCTACACCATCATAAATTTTATCTGTAGTAAGTACCTAACCCTCTCTGTGACACACTGAGCCCCCGGCCTCTGCCGCTACCAGCAATACCTGACAGAGCTCCAAGGCTCCAAGGGGGTAGGGGAAGTTTGCATCCAGCACTTGCCCCCTGTGAAAACAAGCCCAGCTTCCCACAGTCAGCACAAAAACTTCTGGGCCAAGTACATAACAAATTCAAGTCAGAGATAACATAATGGGGGACAAAACTGAAAATAAAACAACAAACAAGAGATTGCCTTTCCACAAGATTGTGCCTCTCTGTTCTACCTCAGATGCCCCATGGCAGTGCCCAAGCCCACCAAAGCAGCACTGAAGAAGCCTCTGAGCACAGGGATTAAGGCAGAACCCTTGGTCAGCACCACCTGTGCCCAGGGCATCCTGAGTGCAGAACTCCGGGGCTGTCCATGCTGCACAAGGCCCAGAGAGTGCTGTAAAGCAGCTGGAGGAGGAGGAGGAGTCTTTTTCTGTGGCTGCCTTGTGGCTCCCAAGTTGTTGGTTAGGTGCAGAGCCCTGGAAGGTACAGAGGGAATTAAACTCCCTAGTGTACATAACGAAGCTCCTGAAAAGCTGTCCCTATAATTAGCTGTGCACACAGCAAACACAGTCACCAGGGACATTGCTTTTGCTCTCAGGCTTGTTTGCAGAACCAGAGCTTCATTCATGTCCTGTTTTGTTTCCCTCCAGCACTGGGGAAGTGTCACGTCTTGTGCCCAATTCCTGCAGCTGTTGTGTCTGCACAGGGCCAAGACATGAACCTCAGACACCTATGCAGTAGGCCAGTTCCCCCCACACTGTTTGGCCTGGGCCACAGAGGTGAGTGACACTGGAAACACCCACGGTGGCAAGGCTCCTCACAGCTGTCTCCACAGAAAACCTTCCTGCTCTACCGTGCTGCAGAGAAAGCAGGACAAGCCTTTCTAGAGAGGAACAAGCTATAGCCATAAAAAGGAGCAATCTTCCTATTGAGGGAAAGCAAGTAAGGTCCTTGCTAGGAGACACAGCCCTGCATGTTCTAGGGCTGGTGTAAAACCAGGAGTTCAAAACTACCACATATCACTGACATGGGGATGTCGGAAGGCAGGTGTCAATTTGCTCTGCTTGGGCTCTAGGCCAGTGGGAGGTGAACCACCTCTGATCCTCAAAACTATAGCATGTGACAGAGTCTGGGCTGAGACCCTGTGCCTCCCCAGTGTTTCAGAGGGGTTGAGCCCTCTGCTCACACCTTCACACAGCCCTGGTGTCAGAGAGAACTGATCCCCCCGCCATGCCCCTCACACAGGACACACGCAGGCCTGGCAGCCTCATGCATTGCACAGGAAACTCTTAACACCAAAGCCAAGGCTTCATTCCCACTCCTCCAGTCCAGCACTGAGCCTCTGAGAAGAGCACTAAAGTACGTAAGTTCAGCTGCATGATCCACATGGAAGAGGCAAGAGCTAATCCAGGGCTGGCACCTGCCTCTCTGTTGTACTGACAGCCTCCCTGCTGTGGCCTTCTTCATGGTGGCTGGCAGTTACTTTGCATCCCTTCCAACTCCTGACTTCTCCTTGCGTGGTGGGAAGCTGCATTTGCGTCATCTGCATGAACAACTTCTATTCTGAGTTCTTCACCTTGGGCTAATCTCAGAAAGGGCTGAGGTGTTTCCACTTAGGCTCCCTGTCCCAAGCCAAGTCTCTCAAACCCAAGAGACAATGCAGTCACTGTTTGACAGAAGCATTCATACCTCACACCGAAGGATGGTGAGCCAAGTATGAGGCAAACCTGCTTCATGCATCTAGCACAGCAGAACAGGGATGGCTCCCACATCTTGCCTGCAAAGTCCCCAGCCCCTGTACACCAGCCCTGGGACCCCTGAGGACTGTCTGAGGTCAATACACAGACATTAACCTTTCCCTCTAATGCAGTGTGGAGATACCCTCTGTCTTGCAACGTAACTTTCTACTGCCCTTCTGCCACAGTTCCCATTCCTCTCAGCCTCAATCTGCATCCTAGGCTCATTCCTTTTTGCTGAAACAGCTCAGACCTGCTGTAGCCAGAGTTGTTCCGATCCCAAACCTTCACAGAAATCTCTTATCCTGATGGAAATGTCTGTTGATGGTGGGTCCAGTTCCATGGGAAATGATTCTTAGCAACCAATCTGACTGGTTAGGTATTGCAAGCCTGGTTAAATTCAGAGAAAGGAGATTTTCTTAGCTTACTCACTCAGAAATGCACAGGCTTTGTCCTTAATTGAAAGACATGGCGAGTGGTAAATCACATATTTGCATAAAAATTCAGGCTATTCTCTTTCTGCTTTATTTAGTAATATAAATGGAGAAGTTCATGTGACATCAAGCAACAAATCTGTTCCTAGTATCAGGAGAGGCTGACAGTGGATCCCAGCATGACACCAAAAGCAAAGGGAACAAGGGAAACAGATCTCTGGGAACTACAAACTGCTAGTACCATTCTGCTGCATCACCCTTTTCTCCAGCAGAGGTGGTATGGAAGGACACAATGCAGGGCAATAACAGAGCTCCTGGAGTACTGAGAAAAGAGAACCAGAGCTAACAAATTAGAAGGGAGAAGAGATTCCTAGAAAGGAGAGACAGCATCTATGTACATAGCACAGAGATGGGAATCCATCACTGGCTTGGCCCCTTAATCCTACTGCCCCAGGAACTCTTGAGCTACAGGGCTCAGTGAACTCTTCACACAGCAGAAGCAGATGACTCTGGGCACAGCCAACGTGTCGGCTGAGAAAGAATCAGAGTTCCTCATTGAAAGACTTCTCCACAGGTTCATCTTCTTTCTAAAACACATTAGAGGCATGAAATCAGTAATGATAAAAGGAAACAAACCAACTTCAATGCCTCCCTCTGCTGTCTGTGCCAGTGCCCTGCCCATACCATTTGAATTGCACAACACCGGGTCCTGACACACGCAGCTCTGTGCTACAAGAAGATGAGATTTGACAGAGAGAAAACTCTTAACACTGAATGAACATGGGGAATCAATTGTCACTCTTTCAGCAGAGACTTCTGGAAGAGTTCTAAGCCCTTGTCTGTATACTCTGTTTTGTGGCCGCCTTAACAAGAATTCCTTCCTACTCATGCGACTGTCTGTCTGATCCTTCCTTATGTGCTGCCATCCACCACCCCTATTCTTGGTGTCCAAAAGCACCCTTCACTCAGTCTCCTCAGATACTGTTCCCAGAAAACAGATGCTTCACTTAGACCTTCATACAGTTACAGAGGCCACTGAGGTCTTGCTGTAGACTAGGAAGCAGAGGTCAATGAAGAAAGGGGCTCTGCAAAGACATCTATCTCTGTTCTGCTCCAGATCTAATGCTTTTCTGATATTCAAGTGCAAATGAAGATGAAAGAGGAGGTGGCAGGGGCAGGGAAGAGTTGAAGGGACTGAAGTAATTTTCTTTAAGAGCCTTGTGAGCAACACCATTGTCCTGCAAGCCCCTAGCTTCCTGTAAACTGCACAGGAGTTCCCCTTTACCTTCTGCATTTTTTGTAAGAAACGATTACAGAAGTCTTGTACACGCTCAATGGAGACTTCATCCAGAGTCAACACATCATGCTCGTCATCTGGCACATGGAATATGGCTAGAGCTGGCAGCTGGGACCTCTTCAGTTTGAAGTATGACACTACTCGTTCATTGCTCTTCAAATTGATGTCTACCAGGAGAAAGAGAATCTGTGGTGGAAATAGGAGAGAAAACATGAGCAAAACAGAAACGGAGAGAGAGAACAGATCCCCAAAGAGTGATCCTATGAAGACTAACTCTGATATTTTTATAAAGAGTTACAGAAAAGCTACCATACTCTGTTAGGACAATACTTTCCTCTGGCAGTGTCTACCTGCTCCATGCAGTGCATTTTTCTGTTTTATCGAGTCTAGGCATATGCCACCAAACAAAATATCTTCTTTCATCTTCCTGAAAAATAGACTTACAGTATGGCAGGAAGGCAGTCTCCACTTCTATTCTCCTAACAGATGAAGAAGCAAGATGTCTTTTATCTTAGTGGCACATAAGAAAGAACCAGACCCTCTACTTGCATGCTACTTATACAAGATGCTCACATCCATGTATGACACAGAGTGGCAAAGTAAAAAGGCATTTTGGTGTGTGGAGAATCAAACCGAACTGCAAGAATGTGAGAGTGAAGTATAGGGCAGGAAGAGCCTGCAAGGATAAGAACACCAGCATACCAAACACAAAGGACATATGTACATGAGCTGTAGTGAACAGAAGGGAAGATGTAATCATTTCAGAAACAGGAGCTGTTGGTGAGACACCGATATTGATACAACCTGGCTCAGTGGAGTGTTGTTCAGAGCTGGGGAGAGAAGCCCAGCAATGAAACAGCCAGAATAAGTATGACCTAGAATTTCTGGGTCTCCCAAATAGTCTTGAAAAGCAAGATCAAGCCAAGGATTAGGATTCTGCTGGGATGATTCAATAATACAGATTTATTAGAATTGGCGACCAACTCCATGATTTTATTTTAAGAGTAAATTTCAGCTGAGATCTTACAGGTGCAGTAGGAATTGGTACAAATGTAGAACACTGGAATCTGAAAGATTATCAATAAAATATACATGTATCTCAAATATCTGTGTTAAAATTACCTGTTAATACTAAATACAAATGTTGTGTATAAATTTTATAAAAGAAAATATATACAGCAATCGAACAGTTTAATCAATGACCTGATTAAATAGAGTCCCTGGCCAATGACATCCAAGGCAATGAAGCAAACATCCAGCTAGCATGTCATTTCATCTTCTCAGGAGTTTCTCAGAATGCATTTCTAAATGGGCCTGTATATAATTTAAAAGGGACTTTGCAAACATCTTTACCCACATCATTTTGGCACTGTAAAACAATTACATCAGTTGCAGCAAAAGCGGCTTTTGATATTGCAAACATCACCTTATTTGAAACTTCTGGCAACACCCATGAGATACACCAGCTGTAGCTGTCATGCTATACTCTTAATACTGTGTAAAGAACACTGAAGATGCTTATGCTAGTTTGGCTTAGCAATGCAAACTCTGCCATTTCCTTTCTAGTAGAAAGCCTGGCCTCTTGCCAGTACTTTCTCCAATAAGAACATATTTGATTGCAGTGGGATCCTTCCAAGAAGGCTGGTGGATTCACTCCTGCAGCTGCAACACTCTGGGCTCTGTCTGTTCACTACTACCCATCCACAACTGTTTCTCAAAGTCTGCTAGCAAAGTACCACATTTCTTCCTATTCTTGTCAGCTCTTGCTGGCTTTAGCATCATCTAATACTGGCACCTTCCTCTCCAGCATTTTATAGCCCCCAGGTTGCACAATGAAATCTAGAGGTATCTAGATTGCCTTCAAACACTCACTGCTGCTCAGAGAGCAGTTCAGGCTGTTCTCAGATAACAGTCTTCACCATACAGCCTCATGGATCCTCCAGCTGAAAATCTCCACTTCCTCTCAGGCAATAATGAAAAGATCATAAACAAGAGATGAAGAGACCATAATCCAGGAGCTGTCAGGTGAATAATTTCCTCATGATCCATTAACGGTTGACTCGGTCTTAAGGGTGTTTTCCAACTTAGATGATGCTATGATTCTATGAGTTTCTCCACTCTTTGGGGTCAGGCACTCAGAAGCAGCAGTTCCTCTTAATCTCTCCATCAATCCATACAACATTTCTCTTCTTCCTTCAGCTGGTGACAATAATTACAAGGACCCACCTTCCCTCAGAGCACAGAAGAGATGTGTGAAAGGATCAGCACAACTTCTCTTGTTTGGGAATCCTGTTGAGGTTCTGTTTATGTTCCGCACTGGCTTGTAGGGAAGTTGAAACATGTCAAGTCTCCCCACTCTCTTCTGGCACTCTACAATTGCTGTAAAGTGCTGCTAGATGTGGTGGTACACACTCACAGAAAGCCTGGACACCTCTTCATGGCACAGCCATGATTCCTAGCTCAAACCACTGGCAGTACCAGCCCCACATTACAAACAAGCCTTTCACCACCATCCCACAGGCTATGAATTATTCACTAGTCATCCTGAACAAAATTCAAGTCAAGAATCTTGCATTTATTCACAGACAATCTGCAAGCTGCAAAAAGGCAAAATCTACTCAATACTTATTTTGAAGTAAACCTGAGTTGACTTGGTAGTCCTGACAACAGATAATTCCACTTAGGAAAATTAGCCAGCAGAGGTTTCCATGGTATTGTGCGGTGGCTGCTTCTGATACTCAAACTAGGTGATGTTTTCCTAGGTGACAGAGCAATGGAGGCAAACCTAAGTGACTCTGCTTACTCCTTGGTATCCAGACCTAAGACCAAACCAGTGGGATCCCATCTCTCTCTTTCTGCTTTTCAAAAGGGCAGTTCAAATCACAATTTACTCCTCAGAGTACCATTCCTTTGGGAAGAAAAACTTCTTAGCATCTATGTGTCCTGCAGTACCACTGCAGTAAAGTGGAAATGATTACTCAAACCCCCATACCTTTAATCTCTATATTTTACTCTGTTAAACTTCTGGACTGATTCAGTGGTAAATTTGCCTTTATGAATTTAAAAAAAAAAAAAGTTAAATTTGACTTGCTGGTAATCCATAAATTATCCAGACTTCAGTACAACATTTTATCCAATGTTTTGTCAAGTATTTCTAGGAAAATTATTCACATCTGCTCAGATCTGGACATGTGACATGAAGTCAAAAGTGGCTGCAGCCCCATCAGCAGAGGAGAGTGATGCTAGCCAGCAATGCAATATGTTAGAAGAATTATCTGCCTGGGGGGACACCTGCAGCAGACTCTGATGTTTATGGAGGACAGGGTTAATGGTGTCACTAACACACATCTCACATGAGAGAGTGGGAATTTCTCAGATAAATGAGTTTTCATTGTCACTACATATTCATCAAAGCAAAATACTTTTGAAGAGACCTTTTGACCTGGATGCTTGGCTTCTGCCTGGTCTCTTGCCAATGGACAGAACAGACTGCCAGCTGCAAAGTAGTCCTGCCATACAAAGATCTCAAGGCTCGTGAGGGTACACAGCTCTGAGGTGACCCCTCCCTTTGAAGATGAGGACATACTTGATTATTTTAATCTGACCCTTCAGTACCACAAAGAGATGTATGCAGATGTTCTTAAACCCCAACTCTTTCCAGCTCCACTGTTCTCCCAAGATCTTTTCCACCACCTCTCATCTTAGCCTCCTCTGCTGCTCTGATGCTCTGCCTCCTCCCTTGCCTCAAATTCCCCCCCGGTTGCTCCCAATCCTCCTTTGCTTGCCAGTTCCTTCCTCTGTTTCCTGGACACAAATTCCCCTGTAATCCAGTTGCTGGCAGAGAATCAGCCATGGGAAGATTTACTGTCTGGGGAGCCCTGTCCACAGAGAGGTGGTAACCAGGTGAAATTTCTCCAAAAGACCACGTCTATGCCATTACCTTGGTGTACGGAATCCAACAAACCCATATGCAACTCCTTTAAAATACCTCTGTCTTCAGGATCCACCCAGAATGCTAAGGGTTAAGAAGCACTGTGACATTATTTGCTATCTGGTCTCTTATATAATAGTCCTTGGCATCTTGCAGGCTGTATATACAAAATCACTCCTCACACCAGTGGAATGCAACCCTCACCAGACTGAAGTGCAGCAGCTGTTTATCTCCCCGTGCAAGGGAACAAAACTGGACCAGAAGCTAAGAAGTACATAATGCCCCACTGATGGAGCACAGGAGCAGGATACAGAGGATATTTCCCCCACAAGGAGGCAAGCTGGCAAAAGGTGAACAGATCCAATGCCTCCACTTAATTATTCAGCTAATCCTCCTTTCCTGCTACTTGGCCTTTGCTCCCCTAACACACCAAGAAGATTATGCCCTCCCCACCCACAGAAGAAACCACTGTTCTCCCTTTCTGCCCCCTAATGGCTCCCCCTCCCCTCTCTTTGGACTTACCTTCCCCTTGAAGAGCTCTGCGGCTGCCCGGTACCTGTGCATCCGCCTGGGGTGCTCTGGGGACATCTTGTCTGTGAGCAGGAGGAGGTTAAACTGGAGCGAACTCTGCATCACACCTACTGCTGTCTGAACACCACCCCAGGGAGAGAAAAACAGACAGACAAGGGGACTGAAACATTCAAACCACAGTGGATGCACTGCCAGAGGTACATCAACCCTCCTGTCTCAGCTGAGATTCCGTTACAAATCAGCCTCACAAGCATGACAGTTTTCTTTAAAGCAGGAAGGATCCAGTTTGGGCTCTTTGTGGAAGAGCTTAACTTCTTGGCTTTGCTTATCCCTAAGACAAGAGTCTGAAGACCACAAGGGTCTGTCACTGGCCTTGGGATAGTCAGTGATTAGGCAGGAGGACTGCAAGCTGAAGTCTAGTAGGGCAAAGAAGTGGTGAGGGAAGGCCAGAAAACACTGAACATAAGGGTGCCCTGAGTCACTGAGGTCCAGCACCTAGCTGAAATGAGAGCGAGAAAGTGGGAAAGATTTGTGTTGTCAGGGGTGTGTCTCCCCTTATCTCCTTTCTTTAGCATTCAGCCGTGTGTAGGACAGAGATGAGTCCAGAGTTCCAGCAACCCCAGGCTGTAGGCACTCCAGAGTGATGAGGGTTAAAACAGCCTCTGCAGTCCCACACTGGGAGAAGACTTGGAGACAGCTCAGGGCCAAGCAGGCAGCACACACTGGCCTTCTGTGAGGAAAAAGGGCTGGCACTTCCCAAGAAGCCACTGCACCATCTCCAGGCAGGCACTAACTCACGCGTCATCTTGCTTCTCCTTCTGCCCACTTCCTGCAGCCCTGAAGCCTCTCCCTCAAACTAAACAGCAGCTAGACCAGACCTGCTGCCTCCCTTTGCCACCAAAACCACAGAGGCACAGACTGTGCAGCTCCCTGCCAGTGGGAGAAGAAAGTTTCCACATGCTCCAGGAGTAATAAGGAAGGGGTCAGGGAGTGCATGCTGGCTGGCAAGGCCCATGCACCACAAAGCATCTAGTTTTTGGCAGTCAAAGCTCCACCATTAACCTGGTGTTTATCAGACATTTTGTACCCCTTCACTTTTCTCATGGAGTGCAGATGGAGCAGGTAGAGTAGAGAGGATGCAAATCAAAGCTGGAGAGTATTAGAAAATCTCAAGGGGGAGGACGAGGCTGAAGGTGAGGGTGAAACCAGCCAGCACTGAGGGCTATGACAAAGCTGAGCTGAGAGCAGGCAGGGCTGGAGCAGCAGTTCCTTCAGCAACTCCACACAAAAGTGTGCTTGTCCATCCAGCCTTGTGCCAGAGCAATCAGCACAGCTCATCAGCATGGCCAGGTCACATCTGACTCTCCTGGAAAGCTCACAGGGTGAGCATTGCCTAAAAATGCCTGAAGTATGTGGGAGAAGCAGAGGGCCCCAGGATGGGGAGAGAAACTCTTGGCAGCGCTGAGGGTGATCTGTGTGACCCCAGCCTCTGCTGGCCAGCAGCATTCTTAGATGTAAACAGCATACGCACTGGGAATAAATATTGACAAAAAACCAAGATACTTTAGGGGAGGTGAAAGGGCTTTGGGCCAGCAACTGCAGGAGGCACTGTTAACTGTAGCACCTTGATAGGTCTCCAGAGTGTCTGGAACAAAACCTGAAACAACATAAGTACTGCCAGTTGGGGTGGAAGGAACTGGCTGAACAGCTCAGGTCTTCTCAGTCAAGGAAACAGCCTGGGTGCTGAACAGGACACCATGGAGTGAGAGCCCAAAGCATCAGCAGAAACACATGAAGAAAGAGCTATGACCTAACGAACTGTCAAAAGAGGCAGTGGAGGCTCCATGGGTTCAGAAGGGCTGGGCAGTTAGAGAGGTAAGGACATCCCCACTGACATGATGCAGGTGTTCTCAAAGGGCTGTGAGGACACTGAGGCAGGATACATCTTTTCTGTTCCCAGAAATATTCTGTGAGTTTGAAATACACTTTTCACATCCTTTCTCAAGATGAAAAAACAAATCCACTTTTTAAAAAACCAAACCAAACCCAACCTAGAACACAGAACTTCTACAGTATTTCATTATGGACACAAAATGTTGCACTTCCAAAATGCTTCCTCTGCTAGTGGGCTGCACTTGAACTGGGGAATGTGTCAGCCCTCTTAGCTGACCCTTGGCATTGACTTGAGATGGAATAGCTTTGAAACGGGTTGGGCCATTCACCTTTGATAAAATTGAGGCTGGTTAACACTGTTGAACTACCCAGAAGTCCACAAAAGACACCACCTGCAATGATAAAGTCAGCCATCAGGGCTTCAAAGACCTATTGACTCTACAGCAATAAGTCCAGTCAGCTGCTGAGATTTCAGAGGAGCCTAAATCCTTGGTCACCCTGTATAGTAAGGAGGAGCACTGGGACCCTGCCACCGCTAGTCACACGAACTAATGAAGATGGCCAGCATGGAAGCATCCTATGTCTGATTTTCTGTTGTTGTTGTTGAATAGATGAATTCCAGAGTAAGGGATGGAAAAAATTTTTTGCTTGGGAAGTTTCCAACAGGTTCTTGAATGTGCCTTCAAATAGCCAGGCTGACATGGAGCCCTATGCACTAGTGATGAAGAAAAGGCTGCCTTCTGGAGGCAGGGCACTCAAGTTTTCATATTTCTCAAGGCTTTTCAGCCAAAGAGAAGAGATCCTGACTAAGCAGGGTCTGCAGGCATGACACAACATGGCAAACACCCATGGCAGCACTGGTGGCAGGAGTAGTAAGAAACAGAGCTCTCTGCCCACCAGCACGCCAAACTTGCTGGAAATCTAAAAGAACCATCACACCCCCCTCCCTCTCCCACCCCACTCACACACCACAGCATCTACTTCCAGTCCCCACGTGGAGTAGCAGCAGAAAGCTGAGTGGCTTCCTCAGCCCCATCCACTCCACTGCTGCAACCGTCCCTCTCATCTGGGTGCACAAACCCTTGGGCCAGAGGATGCCCATGAGGAGGAGGCCAAGTGCCAGGGTGAGGGCTGTGGGGAGCTGGTAATTACCACAGGGTTGTACTCTGTCACCAGGCGGAGCTCATTCATCCGAACGAAACGAGCAATCTTCTCAGCATCAACATCTCTGCTGCTCATGCCCAGATCTCTCCGGTCACTGTCTACCTGCAGACACACAGGCACCTACAGTCACAGCTGTCCTCTCCTCAGCACTCCCTCCAGAGGCACTGGTGGCACCCCCTCATGGAGACAGCCACCCTCTGGGACACCACCATTCTCTCCCCAGCACCACATTATACCATCTTCTGGTGGTCCAGAACCTACTGAGACCAGCCCCCACTTCATGATAAGGATCTGCCACTCTCCTTCAGTCCCCCAAGGATGAGGTAAACTCATGGCATAACAGAAGTCACTGATGACTCCAGACATCCCAACAGTATCAGCTCCTCATGTACTGGAGACAGGGAGGATTATCTGATAAACCATTCTAGGGATTGTGGGGAGACATCATTAGATAGCCTAACTCCTCACATGTATTTTGGCTTTACATCCCATTTTAAAATCTTCATCTGCTTATTCTTTTTCTTCTACAAGTAATAAACATTGGCATGGGCCTGTATGGATTTCCTGGAAACATTATGCAAGCAGGAAATCTCTCCAATAAAAAAAGGATTTTTTTTTTTTCCAGTACAGCAGAAAAATAAAAATTTAAAAAATCTTGCCTAGCACATATTTTAGCTTTAGAGGAAAAACCATCCTGCCACATATCTCCCCACACTCCACCACCCCCCTAATTGCTGTGATTTTATTGAAGGTTTTGTGTACCATTAAACAGAAAACCAATCAAGCACTCATTGAAGGATTGCTAAACCTCTGGGAAGTGGCAGAGCTGCTGTGCAGAACCACCACAGGAGGTGACTGAGTTGAGCCATGGGGACGCTGGGCTCTGACACTCAAAAGGATCAAAGGGATTTGAAGGTCTTTGATACACATGTTGAATGAGGTTCTTGGGGCTGAGGAAAAGTCCACATGTGCACCCGAGATTTTATACTCTGCATCTGTACGACCTCTGAAAGTGCTTGCGTTGGTTTTTCCAGTGGTGTGCAAACATCTAAAGCCCTTTTTGCTGTTCTGTGGTCATTCGCAAGGTCTTTCAACTGGTACAGGAGCACAGCACCCTGTCTGGCAACCCAAACTGGTGCTTTTCAGACTGTGCACCCTGATTCCTTCACAGATTTGCTCCTGCTTAAAATGAAAGGGCAGCTATACCCAAGTAAACAAGATCAGGCCAGTACAACGCCTGAGAGGGTGAACCTTGAGAATCAACCTAAAGCACCCTGGATTCCACAGAAAATCTTCATGTGACTTTCATGGGCTTATGGAAACACCTTATTGCCATTTTGGGATAATAATATCTCAGATCTGTGCTCAACATTTATGATTTTAAGAAAATAAGGCTGGAAAATAGCCTGCATCTAATAGTTGAACCTCTAGTCAAAATGTCTTTATCAGTCCATATAATTAGCTCGTTAGCATCTGTTAATTAGGGCCTTTTTAGGTCTATCTGCCCAGATTCCTCACTAGAATAAATAAGTTTCCCTCCACCATACACAAAGAAGTCTCACCAGTTGAGAGCAGACCCTCCTACTATGTGTAAACTATGGTTTAAACTTCTAAGTATTGTAAGAGCTCATACTCTGCAAAAGCAAAGAAGAAGTGAGTGCCTGCCTCTGATTCACTGCTATCCTGGCCATGCATCTTTATATTCTTCAAACATTGGATTCCAAGGTCCTGTCTCAGTTCTTTTTTCTTTTCCTTTTTGTCTCTGACCTCATACTCCTACACAGCATTCAGCACAGAATAAAAGGAAAAATACCGTGTCTGAATAACATAAGGAAAACTGACAATTAGACAAGTGAATTGTCAACCATATTTGAACCTAACTAGTGTATTAGCTTCTTAGCTGTGTTTTTTTTTCCTACTAAACAAGACTTCATCTGCAAAACCTAAGCTATGAACAAAGAATATTCAATATAATCCAAATTCCAACAATACAGACACTTTCTTTTATCAAACGCCCTCCCAATGCAGTCATCCTCACTATCTGCCACAGCACAAAAACAAAGGATCTTTTCAATAATTTTGGAAGAAAACCACCATGACCAAGAACCAAAACCAAGATGGGTGTTGCTTCAGATTGCGACATCTGCACATAGCAAATAAAAGGTTGAATAAAAGGACCTGCCTACCTATTGCTCACTCTTAGATCATACTCTTTGAATAATTTGGATAACACCAGTGGTAAACACTGTGCAGGAAACGTTGAGAAAGAAAGGGGAACAAACTGGCTTTGTCCAGTCTTTGTACAACGTGGATCTAAACCTTGGTCAAGCTGTCACATTTAGTTTCCCTAGTACACATACTGTGTCTACGCTCCTCCCCTGCTTCCTGAGCTCTGGTGACACAATACTTCATCGGCTTTTAGGACACTTTGTGCTACCTAGGGCCCCTCTCCTCTTCAGATACATGTCTCTACAGTTTTCAAGTACCACACTTCTGTAAGAAGGGGTTTCACAAGGAAATAGATATGGGCAGTAGAATACTTGCCCTTAGCTTTTGTTGGTACTCTTGAACCAAGTACACGGCCCTTTCCAACATCACCACCTTAATTTCAGTAAATATAGCTTCAAATTCAGTGAGGCACCAGCACGTACAGCTGGAGTCAACAAAGATTTGATCTTTCACAGCATCCATCCATAAGAAACTGCAAAGCAACATTTTTAATGGTCTCATGCCCATATTTAGGGAATAACTCTGCAAACCACTGTGTTGGAGACAGAAAAGAGCATTGGGGATTTCTTCTGGTGGCAGAGCACCTGTAACTGCAGAGACCCACTCTAGGTCTGGTTTAGGTCATGATGGAAAAGTTGTGCAGCCGGGGATACAGCTTTGCCTGCCTGTAGCGACACTCAGCAGGATTTGATCTCTAGCCGGCTGTGTTGATCCATTGTAACGCTGTGGCCTCTAGATGCTTTTCATGTGTCTCACCAGCCTTTCCAAAACCACAGAAACTCCATCTAAGTAACACTGAGCTCCAGGCAGGTCACTCAGAAACACAGACATTGTTCTTTGCAAAGCCCTGGCTGCTGGACCAGATCCCTGAGATAAACACTTAAAATGGAGAAATCTCATCAGGTGTGATAAATGTTGGGTGTCTCAGTGATGGGAACTCTGCAAGTAAAAGGCAGAAGTCCTCCTCTTAGGGAAAGGAAGCTCTACAGATATGCTTTTAGTTGGGCAGGCAGAGTGACTGCGAATGACCAGCCTTTTTTGTTTGTTTGCTCTAAGGTGAGGTGACCAGCTTTAAATGTCTTCTTTATCCCTTCTACCCGGAGGGTAGTACTCCTCCCGGTTTTAAGCGCTTATTTTAAGCGCTTATCTCTGAGCCTCTCTCACCAAAACCAGCGGGCAGGGGAACACCCAAAGCGGCGCGTGAATTTTGGAGTCAGGCTCCCGCACGGCAGCACCTTTCCCGAGGAGGCGGCTGCCCAGGGGCGCCCTCGGAGCTCCCCGGGGCCCTCAGCCGCGGCAGCGGAGGTGCCTC